ACCAAATAAGGTCCCTCTAGGTTATATGTGGTATTAAACCGGATGAAAGCAAAGCTGCGCACCACCAAAGTTGGGTGGCGATAATGGGTCTGGAACCTCGGACTATAGGATCCGAAGTTCGCCGGTGAAAACGATTAAACCGCTGCATCTCCACCACCCCCATTCAAGTCTATCATATGTTGCATCCATAACGGGTAGTAGTTTTTAAAAAGTTCCTAAAGTTCGCAAGACCCAACCCACTCATATGCATTTCTTTACAGACCTACTTTAAAATTTAACGCCTCTGGAAAGTAGTTGTCTCTGAAACTTTCCCATTTTTCAATCAACCGCTACTAGTGTTTGGCCCTTAACATGTTTGCTTAAGAAACTTTGCCTAACTTTTCGTCGCTGAATCCATTTGGTTGGACGGTTGTAGTCACTCACTCATATTTAGCTAGCTGGTATCGTAAATACCAATTATTGACACTTAATAAGTACGAATTTGGTTTACTGCTGTTGTTTCACGCCGAGTTTTGTGGGTAATAATATTTTGAAAGCTATTCCATCAGTTAGGATCTAAAGATTTTCAGTGTTTGCAGAACCAAAGTCCGCACAGCTCTCTGGGTAAATAATTTAGCTTTCCGGCGAAGATAGTAAGAAGTGTAGTATCGAATTCAGAATTAATAAAAGACCTGCTAGTTATGGACTGGACGAAAACAACCGTCATCTCACAAGGAAACAAAAATTGAACGACGCAGTTGATGCTGTTTATCAATAGTACATTCATTGCAAGCCTTTGAACCTGACATCGTTTGATCGTCTAAAGTCATTTACTGATAAATGTTCTTAGAGCTCATCTGGGATGGGATTAAGTCCGTTTATCAAAATGACTTACTAAAAGCTGTGATTTTCTTAAATCAAGTGTACTGTTATGCATTCCATCCTGATACAATCAATGGTGTCCTCACGAAACCGGGGTACATCAAATCACCGAATTCGCCTGCAATGTCGCAGATTTATCTCTTATCTATACTTCTCTAATTAACTACAGGAAAGTAGAGAGAATCTGCATGGAGCTGGAATAATGTCATTCAACAATAAATTCATGGAAAGAAAAGATGCCGAACTCCGTGGAACGGCTTGAAAAATGGAGACAAGGGACAGACACAAAGATGGACAATATGTGAAAGCTAATTCTGCAGTTCCTCCAAGCTTGGATGAAATTGACATGTCTGCAAACCCTTTTCCATATTCCTCGTATTCTTGTTTGAGCTGAGTAGTCTAGCACTGGAGATCACGTTTGGCTTCGACGGTATGGTTAACTCGTCGAATCGAGTGAATGCATACCGTCGAACCGTGCACTTCTGTCCATACTTGAGATTTGAAACGTTAAGAGGGCAAGTTTTTCAGTTTCAGTTTTTACAGTCATTGACTGTGCACTTTCGTGTACCGGTTTTGTTTGCTGTCTCGTGACTGCCCAGTTGGATGAAAAAAAGAAAGGAAGGTTAGCATGTTCTAATCACTCAGAAAGAAAATTGAGAATTCATGAAGACTAACGTTGCACGATGCACAAGCACCACTGCTTACGACGTAGCCATATCACTCAGTGTATCTAACCGTGACAAAGTGAGCTGTCAATTGAAACAGCTGTCATAATCTGTGTACGAATCGGTTTATCGAGTCCGTGCCGTGATTTGTCATCTTGGATATCGAACAATAGATGAAGCGAGTTGTGCTTGGTTTTGGGAGTAGGGGTCATATTTGATATACCTGGGACTGATATATTAAAATGATGAATAATTTTTGCCATGGCCAATGCTGGTAATTGTTATCGAGCATCATATTATTTGGAATCAAATGACATTATATATCATAATACAAAATAATTTTTAGTTTTCTTTAGCGTTAAACCCTACTTGGGTAGCTGATATCTACTATTATCTCATACTTTTTAAAACTTGACCGTTCTTTTGCTAACATTCATCGAAGTCACCGTTGAGCGGAAAATTTCCACTTTTCTATCAAAATCTTTACAATTTAGGCCCCGAAACGGTGTATAGTTGTGTTGGCATGTGGTTATTATTGGTTCGGAATCTGGCAACTGCCAGCTCTCTGATTCGTCGACAACTTTGTAGACCTGAGTTCGTGCGGACTTTGTGCTACTTATTATCTAAGGCAAGTTTTCCTTCTATTATTATTATTATCTTTTACCTAAGTATTGTGTAAATCTGCATTTGTGTCATTCAGGGTTTCCACTTGTCCGTTAGTTTTATTGGCACCAATTCGAACTCTAGAATGCTCATCTACAATGTTAAGCAGATTTACTCATGGTTCTCTGCCTCGTCATCATTTCGTTCGCAGATTGACTCCAAAATGAATAGAGTCTGCATTCACCGCATGAAAAGTTCGCTAGACATGTTTAAGCTTTGTAAACCAGGCTGCATCCGGTAGACTGGCTATCGTTCATTATTCTTTTCCAGTTTTCAACTTACACGATGTACTGTCTTGTTGACCATACAACTACACGTAAGATTCGAACACACATTGAAGCAGCCATACATGTTAGTCCGCCGATTGGTATCATGAACTCACAGGTAGTTGTTGACAACTTGGTATCCTGAGAAGTTTCACTAACGAAAAATATCGTGATAACTACTGATTCGACAAATCTCTAATTACAAAGAACCCTGACGGCTTACTCACGCATAATCAATAGAGACGTCTTGCACGCTGGAAGGAGCATTTCAAAGTGCAGTTTAGCTGGTCATGGGCGTCCTCTTCTCACACAAATATTTCAGCACACTTCCGACGATCTGCTTCTACCGACCCACCAGAAATCCATAAGGGGATGCGAGCCTTGAAACGTCACAAAGCGCCGGGTTTCGACGACCTTCCCCCAGCTCCTTTGAAAGATGGTGCCATAAAGCATGTTAGAGAATTGGTGGCTCTGAACGCTGTTTGGCACATTGATCAGTTCTCCTCGTGCGGGGAATCGATTGTTGTTCCCATCATAGAAAAAGGTTCCGCATAGTGAGTGCGCTAATCATAGGGGTATAAGCCTGGTCCCGATAGTGTTGGTATCCGCTATTATCCCCCGATTATACAATGGAAAAGTAGACCCATGAGGCGCAAGCTAGGTTTTCCACCGGTCGTGGATAAATCGGTCAAATCCTCGCCCTCGGACAGCTGCTAGAGTACCGTCATGCCTACTTTACTTTTACTTTTCAGAGACCAACTCCAGAGGGAGGATAAGTTAACACATAGTAATTCATTTATAGTTCAAGAAGTGTAGTTGTTTATAAAGCAGAAAGAGAAAATAGAAATTTAAATACAAAACCATCTGTTAACTGTATCGTTGTTAGCATTCTTGGTTGGTTGTCCCAGAAACAAACAGTTTTCAGTGTGTATGCTTCCGTTAGAAGAGATTTTCTAACAGAATGAATACGAGAGACAAACCATGACATGGTTTTTCACAGATGGCTAATGTGTATATCATCCCTAATTCACAGTACCGGAGGGCTCCCTGTAATTTTGTTTTTTTCCTCGCCCTTAACTCGCGTGTACGAAAACCGGTAAAGGTCGTCCTTTTAAGCAAGTTTACTTATTCGTTAATAATAATATTTTTATTCTTATTTCTTTATTTATTGAATGTAAAGAGGCACAGCAAAGTTTCAGGAAGGAGGTTTCGGTCGCTCGAAGGCCTGTTGGGGATTTAGATAATTTTGTGTTTTTATTTAATATAGCTGTTGTGAGTAATACACGAACTTTCAAGCATATTAAATCAGTCGACCCCGAGTTGATGTGATGGTACCTTTTGTTGACCACCCGTTTGAGTTACTAACAAAGAAAGTACGAAGAAAATAATTAGGATATCAATAAACTTGGAAAACCTATCTGCTTTAAAAGTGTAAGCAAACGCAGTAGGCTCAAGTGCGCGGTTTTTAATGAAATTACCGAATCCTATTCATCCTATAAAAAAATGAGACGCCAGAAAGTTGTATGCAAAGCATGATTAAATAACAAACCTGAAAGGAGTTGGCATTTCGAAGCGGAAACAGGATAAAATGAAATGTATGAGAATTATTGGTATGGTGATTAGATGCAAGGGTACTGTTTGTTCTCAGACAGGTCCGAATTGTTACAACAGGAGGTAGCTGGACGCAAGCTACAGAAATTGATTCACTTGGTAAGATTAATCTAACCTCATTTCCTTCGGTGGCGATTAAACAGTTCAATGTGCCATACCCTGTTCGAATCCTACCAAAGTTAACAACTTTAATGTTATGAACTGAATATCACTCTTATACTACCATTAATCGACGTCGTTCTCCGCTCGGAGTTTCAGGATCTAGATCATCGACTTCTGGAAATCCCCTGCCGACCCTAGTTTACCCTTCGCTGATCCATTGCAATCAACTCGGTTGTAATCTGGTAACTATGGTTTGACAAATCGTTACTTTTTAACTTAATGGCTTCGGGAAACGTAGCGTACGAGTAAGCTTATTTTACTTCATGCATTACGTCCCATAAATCTTCCGCTGGTTGTCNTCGCACCGGGTACGTGCGTCCTTGACACAGCATTCATGGTCTGCGTTTATTTTTACTCATATCCAACATCTCTGAATCATACATTATTACTAACTTAAGTGCTATATCTTACTTTAGGACTTTAACGGAGCTGAATATTGGAGCGATGTCAAAGATGTATCAGGTAGACAATCACACTAGATGCTTCAGTGACATTAGTTAAAA